CAGGCAGCTCTCATTAAATACAGTCTGTTAATACTAGGGAAACAGTGTGAGCTTGGATTTTTCTGAGCTCCACTTCCTCATCTGTAAAATAAAGGTCATTTTCTTTATATTGCTCTCACCTCCTCTCCCACTTCTACTACTACAACAGACATGCACACAAGCAAGCATGCACATACACTTGAGAATCAAGTGAATTAACGGATGTGAAAGCAGGTTCCACATTTTAAACAGCTGTAGAAATGTAAGGCCATTATATAGATTTTTCCTCAGAGCTGCAGGTTTATCGAATGTTTATATTTCATCCTTGGAGACTTTTGCTTTTATTTGAAATGCAGCATTCATCTCCTCGTTATCTGTGAGACTAATCTTTTTATCCAACGCCTTCAGTCTGTTTGCTACAAAGCTGTCTAGGTGACAATGTTGATATTCAAAAGCCAATCTGAAAATACTTTCCATATAAGAAGTGTCAAAAATCACAAATGTGTCTCTTTTTAAAAACCAATTTCATCCACTGTTTTAGAACCCTGGTGAAAATATTGTCAGTGTTAGATGTATGTCTGTTCTGAATATTTCTGGTATTCTTCATGGGCCTGAATGTGGTTCTTGATTTATTCCTTGTAAATAACCTGGTGATCCCGGGGGAATATCACAATCTATAAGTATCACTATTTACAATAAGATGGATTTTCCTATCTTGCTAATTACAGTATTAATTTCCATTTACAAGTTGTTAATTCCTAGCATCAATCCTCTCCCTGTCATTGGGGAGGGACAATTGTTCAGAGAAAGCCCCAGGAACATCTTTTCTATTCTAATCTCCAGATGTGCTACACATAACAGAAAATGAGGAAAAAGGGATAAGTTAATTTCCTTGATGGTAGGCCAAGCAGGCAGCAATCGCTCAGGTTTCTCAACACGCTCCCCACACAGAACCCACAGCCCTGGGTTTCATCAGCAACTCAGAATCGCCTTGTTGTCCTCTCTGCCTCACCCTCCTGCGACCAAACCAAATCTCATCCCCGCACCGGGCATGAAAGCATCACGCTCATTACTGCAGTATGTATGTTCCTGTTCCACTCCCCCTTGCATAGTCAGTCCATCCCCGGGTGTGAGGAGAAAGTCAGGAAGTGAAAGCATTTCCCCACATGCTCTCCTTCTCTGCTTTGAACCGTCCGTCCCAGCTTCCAGCAGGAGCAGCCCAAGGGCTTTCAGAAATTCAATCAGTTTCCAGATAAGGGCATAGCAAGGTATTAACTTTCATGTTGTTTTTCTCTATGACTTGGATTTTCCACTTTTTGAGGAAAGTCTAATAATTTTACTTCTAATGGGACTAAGAAGTAGCAAGAAAGATGGAGCTGCTTCTAGGGCTGGGGGTTGGTAATGTAGAAACCCCCTAAAAAGGTGGACTCTTCTCCCTCTTCTTTTTTTTATTGGTTCCAGGACAGTGGATATCAGAGGATGATCAAGATCAGATGCAGCAGAGAGGAGAAGTCAGAGTGAGGGATCTGAACCTGAGCCGGACCGGGGGGGACTCCGACCCCGGGGGCTGAGCGGGGCGAATGAGCAGCCTTGGCCGAAGGGCACGGTGCAGAGCCAGCCCTTGGAACTGACCTGGGCTTCTCCTAGCACTGCGTCCCTGCGTCAGAGCTCCAGAACACAGAGCAGGGACGTCAGGAGGCACCCAGGCTTTCTTTCTCTCCTTGACTGGTAACCTGCAGCTTTCAAAGAATAGGAATTCTAGATGTGAACTGACCTAGAAAGTGACCTTTCCAAGCTGGACCTGGAGGAATAAGGGATGTTTCTGAGAAGAAAATGGAACTAATGAAGGACTCACTGTGTCCGAATGTCTTAAGTGGAGTTTTACAGCTTGGTCAGATGGTTTGGGGAAAAATTAATAACAGGTATACAGACAACTAAACAAATGAAAAAAAGGGGCATTTACTCACTCTAAAAAAAAATACACAGGAAAGAAAATGTTACCATAGTATATACGACACAGCTTAGCTGTACATGTTGTTTACAGGATCATGATGTTGTAAACAGGGTATGTGAGGAAGAGAGGTGAGTCGGATCTTCCCTAATAGGAATTTACGAGAAAAATCAGGAAATAGAACTATACAGATATTGTTTAGAAACTCAGAGGTAAGTTTGAGAAGAAATCACTTAAATGAAGTGGTTGGGAGCAGCCTTTTGCAGCAGACCAGGGGTCATGCTTTTCTGTGAGGAAGCCTATGGCAGTATTTTGAGGGATGCTCATGTATCTTAAAGGGAGTCACTAGGCCTGTGCACCTGTGCCCAGGGTGCCACTGAGTTCAGATGTGGCCAAGGGATGTGCTTTGGTCAGTGAAACCCAATGGGCAGCGGAGCTTCAGCAAAGAGATCCCAACCCCTGCATTCCCTCCCTCATGTCGGCATTTGTGGACCAGGGAGCTGGGCTTTCCCTCCACTGGGGACCCTGAGGAAGCACAGCACGGAGCAGGGCCCCTCAGTCACCCCCCCAACTGACACAGAGTATGAGAGAAATTAAGCTCTTACAGTTTTTAGCCACTGCAGGCAGGGGTTGTTCATTAATGCTTACGAACTTGGCCTAGTTGGCTGCTTTAATCACTTCAATAAAGGTAGAACCAAGCAGAAAAATGAAAATATGCAAATCGCCCATTCCACCCAAGTCAGTGAGTGTAGAGCGAAAGGTAGAAAAATAAATAGTGGTGACAAGCAACTATGGAAAAGACTCATAGATATCTCACTATATCATATATACATACACCCACACATTCAATATGTATACACAAAAATTTAAAAATACATGACTATATATTTTATAATATATAACACATGTGAATTATATATTTATATATAAAATATGTGTTATAAGATATATCATATATATATGTGTATATATATATAGCGATGGGTAGAATAATGGCTCCCAGAGATGCCCACATCCTAAACCCCCAGAGCCTGTGTCTATCTATGTTCTTCCACCCGGCAAGAAGGTTTTGCAGATGTGATTGTGGTTAAGGACCCTGGGATGGGGAGACTATACTGGGTTATTCAGGTCGGTCTAATGGAACCACAGGAGTCTTTAAAGTGGAGACTCATCCTGGCTGCAGAAAGCTAGAGAGATGGCAACATGAGACGGACTCGGCCTGCTCCTGCTGGCTTTACTGACACTTATGATTTGTAATTTCTTCATCTGTTTACGGATATAATAAAGCTTTTGCATTTGCTGTGAAGATCAAATGAGAAAATTTTAATAAGCCTGAGGCCAATGCAACAATGAAATGGAGAGGGCAAGAGCGGGGCCTGAGAGGCCAGTTAGAAGGATCCAGGCATGACAAAGGGAATAGCAACGTTGACTTTGGATGGAGATCGAAACCTCGAAAGCCAGCATGTTCATTATCTGGAGACACTGATCCAAATGTATGAAACCTATGTGACCAACATCCTACAGACCTATATGAAAAGTTATGTCCTAATTAGAATTTCCCTCGGTACATATGGTATCAGGGAAAGGGAGTTAGAAGGAAGAAACAAATACTTCATGTCCCAGTGCTGAGAGGGTCTGCTTCATCCCTTTAACATCAAGGATGAATTTGCCAAGAAAAGAGGAACGTTCTAAGTCTAGTGGATGCAGTCCCCTGTGTGCTTCCTCACCTTAGGTTTGCTCTTTCCACCGGGACTGCTGACCGAGGCTCTCCTGAAGACGGAGAGCCATGTGTGGACGCTGACCGCGTGAGTCCCTGTGAGTCTCCTGCATTCATGGGCCTCCATGCTGGCCCCTGCTGATTGGCACATTTTTGCTTTAACTAGGTTCAAATATTCAATCATATAATGGTCAAGCCTGGCCCAAGAGGGCCATTAATTCAATGATTTTCAAACTTCTTACCTTAGCTCATTAAATAAAGCAAAAGTCCCAAGACATAACCCACACCACCCCTTCCTATTTCCTGATAAGTTAAAGAACATCATGATAAATATCTGAGAGGAACAAAATAACATTCCAGTTATAACTGCAGCAATTACCCCAAAATGTATTGAGAAGGATAAGAACTATAAATAATTTTACTAAGTGCTTTAATTAATTCAAGGATAGCAGTGAGTGAAAACCATGTCCAACTCATGGCAGTTCTGTTGATGCACTGATAATAAAACATCCTGCCTGAGCATCTCCGGAATTCCAACTCCCTGTGTCTGTACAGGGTTGCAAACTGGCCCTGCTGGCCAGCATTGTGTGTAGCAATCAGACTTCTTGTTAGGACACCAAGTTAGAATTCCTAATAAACTCTGGTGATATGCTCCTCTATTTGTAAATATCAAATCTTGATATCTTTTAATAACCCACTTATTATTTACTAAGTTCTCCTTGGTTAAAAATAAAAATGAGAAAAAGTAACACCTCTAAGTACTTACTATTGTTCCAGGAGCTCCTCTAAGAGCGTCTCATGCCTTAAGAATTGAGCATTCATGGTAATTCCCATCATTCATTGATAAGAAGAAAGTAACTGTATTTTGTGGTCAGTTTACAACCCGTCAGAGGATGCCTAAATATCGCTTTAAGGTAATTTTGTGTGTTTCTGTCCTAATCCATATATGCTGATTTTGAAGCTTAACTCTTAAAGTCAGTTTCATTTCCCTTCAAGTTTTGAAGATTATTCTTTGCTGTTTCTAGATCCTAACCACAACATATAAAAAAACATTTTACAAATTATAAAGTGCTGCATCTGCATAAGGGTTTTAGAATGGAGTCTGGAACTAATGCTCCCATCTCCATTTATGAGTAAGGAGACTGAGGCCCAGATGGGAGATAACACATCTTCAAGGCCCTTAGTGAACAGGCGAAAGAATCAGGGTGAGATTCCAGACTTCCAGCACTCTGCAGGGCTCTTCTTCCAAAATGAACTCATTCTACACTGCTCAGGGCCCATTTCCCACATATTACTGGAAGAGCCATTTCTCCTTCTCCCCACTATTCCTTAACAGATTACCCCAAAACTTACAGGTTTAAAGCAGCGAGCACGCATCTCAGTTGCCAAGGGCCAGGAATCCGGGAGTGGCTTAGCTGGGGGCTTTGGCTTGTAGTGGCTCAGGAGACTGCAGGTGAGATGATGGCCAGGCCTCAGGCCCTTGAAGGCTTCGCTGGGTGACAGGACCTTGCGTGGCTGGGCTGGAGGCCTTGGGTTCTCACCACTCTGGGCCTCTCCACAGGGATGCTCGTGACACAGCTAATGATCAGAGATAGAGAGAGGGGAGGGAGGAAGGCTTGAATGCCACAATGAAGAGCCTGAACTCTATTTCACATAAAATGGGGAGCTGTTGATAACTGATGAGAACTGCTGAGACTCTGTTCCAAAGCCTTTTGGGGATTCCTCCTTGATGTCCAACTACTGGTTAATTTTCTGGGCTAAGACCATCTTATGTTGTCTAAAACTGCAGCTCGTAGCTGACAGAAACTCAAGAACAATAAAATTTAGTAGCAAGAATCCTGCGAACATCCTGTAGTGGCACCTAAACACCATAAAAAGGGAGGCAGGGAAAAACATAGCAAGTGTCTCATCAGGATAATATTCCAGGGGGAGAAGAAAGCATTCATTTAAAAATTTTAACTTTATTAAATTTATCATCACAGATTCTATGACTTTAGATTTAGAAAGGAACTTTGAAATTACTGAGATCAAGGTAAGCCAATGACACCCAGATCTACACTTCTGGCTTCACCCCCTCCTCTTCAGGCCTATTTATCAGGCTGTCTGCTGGACATGTCAGCTGGCTGAACTACGGATGTCATTTCAACATGTCAGAAATTCAATTCTTCACTTTTTCCACCTTCTGCTTTGGATGTTTTACTTAATTAAATGATCATCTGCCCAGTCACCCAAAGAAGGAGCCAGTAGGCCATCCTCTGTTGAACGGAAAGCTACATTCAACTGGGCACCATGTACTGATTCTAAATCTGAAGCACCTCTAGTTCCCTCCCCACCCTCATGCTCTTAAATTGATTGCTTTTCCTACCTGCAGGCCTCCTCAAATCTGCCCTCCCTCTCCTGCCTTTAAGGAATGCGTTACCTTGCCGGCAACATTCTTCTCTCTTGCTTGACTGGAAAACTCTTACAGCTTTCTCAGGACCCAGTTCAAATGTCACCTCCTTTTTGTGGAATTAATAATCTCTCCTTCATCTGGACTCCCCACACATCATTACCAACTTCTAACATGGCTGTTGACATGCCCATCACTTCAACAAAACAATGGCCCGTAAAGACTAAGTGACTTACTCAGGTTCAAGTTCACTCAGTTCATCTACAGCAGAGCAGAGCCAGGACTAGAAGATAGTCTAGAAACAGGGCTCTTGCCCAAGACTCCCAATGATAAAGTGTTTCTGCTGTTCCGGCCGTGGAGAAGTGTCTGTGAGGCTAACTCCATGGTTATCTTTGAGGTTAGAGCTGTCTCCCCAAAAATGTATCCTGCACTGGGGGCAGCAGTCAGTGGGCCGAGCAGCCTGTGCACTGAGAGGCGGGGATGTTCAGGCCTCGCTTGCAGGACGGCCCATGGAGAGAAGTGCCACTCTGATTTGTGAGTCACTCATTTCCACTCCACAAAGGCCTTGTCAAATAGTTGCCTGGGGGCTTTCATCTTCATCTCTCTTACTCCTGGGACCAAGAGTCAAATTTGGTTTCTGCTCACTTGTTTGAATTTTAGGGGCTCTCCTGGTAACCCCAGCTGCAGAATGTTTAGCAAGAGGCTTCTTTTGAAAGTTTAAGGTGGAATTCTCTGAGCTGGGCTAGTGCTTCTCCTGACAAGTGTGTAATTGATGGAAAACCTCTCACAGGAGGCTTCCTATCCCAAGTCTCACTGAAGGGCACTTTCAGAGATGGGAAATGGTCCTAGAGGCCTTTTACAATGGGCTAAACCAGCCTAAAACCGTCACCTTTTCCCTCCTGAGTGGCCATTCACTGTTTCTGTCTGTCTGGCAGCTGGAGAAGAATGTGAGGAGACAGACAGAAAGGAAATCACTCCCTGAATACATATGGGACAAAATGCAGTGAAGCAGAGCCTTGGGAGAACACTGGGACGGGTGGGTGGGTGCTAGGGACTGGGGCAGGCTGAGCCTCTGGCATTTGGTTTGGCCCTCCAAGTATCCTGTCGTTCTTGGGGTTTTCTGCCTTGATTCCTGTGGTCACCACCGTACCTGGCCCTTCCCCACTGGCCCACAGAGAACACAAACCTTAAACACGATTGAAATGGGCTAATATTTTCCAAAGGGGCATCACTAACACGCTAGAGAAAATGAACATAGAAAACATCAACAGCACTGAAAACAATCCATTTTGTTTCCTGGCACCTGGGAGATGGTAAGGAAGGATCCTGTTGTTCAAATCAAATCATAGCAGGAAGGAGACAGTCAGGAGCTAATGGAAAGCTCACCGAAGGCAGTGGAGGTAAGGCTAGGTAGCAATGTAAAGATACAAAAAAATACTTAGGAGTAAGAATAAACAGAATTTGCAGTATTAGGTATTAGATATGGGGTAGAAGGTTGACTCTTTTTTTTCTTGTTTAATATGATTCCCTTGAACTCAAGTTGGAATTCTCTATACCATTTGCATATTGGAAATGATATTGCTACAAAAAAATTTGAAAGAGAGGAAGCACAGAGAGCTACAAGGGACAGGTGAAGACTTTTGCTATTAATGAATATATACATATGGCATGTCTTATTTAAGAAAATTAATTTATGAAGGTATAATTTACATGTAATAACCTGCCCATATTTTAAGTGTATAGTTGATTGATTTTGACAAATGTAGACACCCATACAACTATTACCTCAATCAATGTATAGAACATTTCCAGCCCCTCAAAATATTCCCTTGAGACCCTGCTCAGTCAATAGCTCCACCCTCATCCCTAGGCGACCATTGATTGCTTTCTGTCACTAAAAATTCACTGTGCGTGTTCCTAGAATTTCATAGTAATGGAACCATACCACATACAATCTTTCGTGTCTGGCCTTATTTCATTCAGCATTCTGTTGTTGAGATATATCCCCGTGTATCAGTAGTTCATTTCATTTTATTGCTGAATAATATTCTATTGTTTGGATATACCACAATTCGTTTATCCAGTCACCTACTGGGGGACATTTGGGTTGTTTCAGGTTTTTAGTTATTACAAATAAAGCTGCTCTAAACATTTGTGTACAGGTCTTTTGATGGGCATATATTTCCATTTTCTTGGGGAAATACCTAAAAGCAGACTTGCTAGGTCATCTGGTAAGCACTTGTACATTTAACTTTATAAGAATTTGGCAGCTCATTTCTTAGCCAAAAGAACTCTTCTTATCATTATTTACCGTAATTTAAAGATGAAGGAAAAACAAATGTAACCCAATCCTACTTGAATGATCCTAAAATTTTAATTAGTGGAACCTGAATTAATGAGATTAAGCCATTGTAGAATGGTTTCTATATTCAAAAAAAGTTTGCATTTTTAATTCATATGAAAATAGGGCCTCCAAAAGATATATACACCAAGTGGGGAGAAATCTATGAATTTTGTATATTTCCCCCAGAAAAGAATAGTAATGCCTTGTTATTTTATCAATGGGATTCAATTATATGTGAAGTGCTCTATAAATACACATAGGATATTATTTTTTTATACTAATAGAAGCTGCTGGGGATTTGTAGCATTGTTTTGCTTATACAGCCATGTGGATCCAGTATATGCCATGATATAATCGTTCTGAGTTGACTCAGCCAGAAAGCTGGGACACATATGTTGCCAGGTAAGCCAGCAACTTGGAAAATTATAGCTCCACTATTCTTAAGGGTTCCCCTGTGAGTGGAAGCCTTAACGTTGTCCCTAGGGGCCTAACATCTCACAGTGCAGCCTAATCATTGGCTCAGACATTTCTTTAGAAGCTGATTGACAGCTGCTGCCAATCTAGATAATTACCAGAGAGCCCCAATTAAAGCTCTGACCATCGATCTCACTGCCAGGACTTGGGACTTCAATATAAATCCACAAGTGGAAAGAAATTACCTCCTGAGAAAAAAAAAGCATCATTTTTGTAGTATGCACTATATTATACAGCTATATTATGCATTATTTATAATTCATAGATGCATTTTTAACTCATCTTCTTAAATGTTGCATTGTTTGTCTAATAAGGTTGGTATTCAGAACCTTTCTTTTTCGATTTTTCACTTTAGAAAGGGACACAGTAAATCTGGAAGAAAACATAAATGAAAGAGTATTTTTAGCATTGACAAAAATAGGAACTATTTGAAAGTAATTTGTACTATTGTCATTGCTGGGGCCTTCATTAACCACCTAAGGAGGAAGCGCCCAATGTTTTCACTAATCCTCCAGATGAGGCCAAGTTTAAAACACACACACTCTCTATAGGAATCATGTGAAGATATTAAAACTTGGCCAGAAAGGTGACAAGGTATCTAGATAATTGAGACAACTTGGAAGTCGGATGGCCTGTCCAATCGCTATGAACTAATGGTGGGTAATCAAACCCAGCAGGTCCACACAGATACTGGCAAATGCCAAACAGCTTCCTATATGCACAGATTTCAGCTTAATTAGTCACAGAGGAGGAATAGGCATGTTTAAAGTAATCCAAGAAATCATTATTGTTCAAGTGGCTTACATACAGACATAAAAATTGTTGCCCTCTTACAGTTCCTACCTACAATGGAGGACAATGAGACAGTCAACTGACCTTTACATAAAGAACTGTCCAGAGGGTGAATTCTCTCTGTCATTTCTCTGTTTGGTTATATCACAGGCTTATTTCTCAGTAGCTCTGTTTTACCCACCAGATGATAAATGTATGGTCATGCCAACTCAAGAGTGGCTACTGACAAGAAATATAAGTGAACTTTTAAAGTGTTTGGATAGTTTTTATAGATGAAGAGCCACAAGAGCTGCTGGGAAAGGGTGCTGTGCCCCTGACTACTAAGGCAGGGCCTTCCATAGCTGTCTCTGGTGTCTTCACTGGCAACTAGAACTGGATTGACAAGTTGGGGATTTCCTATTGCCCCAGAATTGCAACTAGGGCTCTGAGTAGTGAGCAAAAGGCACTTAGTGGTGTTAGTGTCCCACTTTCTAAGTCCTAATCTCCCCCAGGAGGTTCCAGTTCCAGCCATAACCACATGGGCTTATTGAGAGCGCTAACTCCAGAATGAGCCCTTCCATCCACCCCCATTCACTACCC